CAGTTTCATGGTAGTGGGTTTGGACTTGGTTGGAGTGGGTAGCATCAGCAAAGGAACAATGGGTGTCAAAGTGTCACCGGTTCTCATGCAGTTTCAAGCCAGAATTTCATTATTTTAGCCTACAAGTTTAATTAAAGGGGATACATTGAGTTGGCAGACAAACTGTGGCTTGACTTGTGGCTGATGGTCAAGAACTGAAGAGAAGAAAGATAACCTGCTAGTTCTTTAATAAGACTGGATGTTTGTCTTTGATCTTGAGGTAACCTGGACAGAAACCTGTAGTTTAAAGGTACCCTGTGGTGTTTTTGACCACTAGTAATACTATGGAGCAATGTTTTTATCATTGAGTCCCAGTATTGTCATGTATCATGCACATGCACATACACAGGAAACATGATTCACATTCCTACCACCAGTTTCTCACTGTTCTCCTGACTGACATTTGGCTCAATCAACGTACCAATATGTCAACACAAAAACTGGAGTAGAAAACTGCAAGTTAGCACCCAGGGATGTAAATTTTTCATGATTTGAAAGATTCAAAAATCAAATTTGCAGATATGTTATGGAGAAGTACCTTAACTTCAGTGTGTCTTAGACACTGCAGCTGCAAGGGCAACTGTTGGTGAGTGGGCTAGATTACTAGAGTGCACTACACTTACTAACTTCCCATTGTTTGTAGAACACTGGCATACAGTACACTTGTCCCCCTACAAGTTGTCACAATTTTGTCCTACCAGCTGTTCACAAGTCTGTGCATATGGATGCTTTTCTGAAATTAGATGGCTGCTCCACTCCAGATAAACATCTTTCTTTTTGCATTTTTGTTTGGCACTGGGCCGACTATACACATGGAACAGTTAACAAGCAGCTCAAGGTGATTGGTCCAGTCAGGGGAAGCACCCCAGGACTGTTGAATATGGACTCAACCCAGGAGAAGCTTGGCTTTCTGAGTTGGATGGTTGGTGGTAGATTCCATTGTACTTCACGATATACTCTAAAGAAAATAAACTTGTCTAAACTCATTATTGCTCAGACTGATAGGCCAATATGTTTGTCAGGCACCAGAATGGATGTTGACAGTTGAACCTAATACAGTTTGCCAACTGGATTGAGGATTGATACCCACCTGACCTGAACTAACCCAAGGTGGGCTGTAAACAAGATATAGCTACAGTACACTGAACACACTATGAGCTCATAATATAAATGTGCCTCAAGCAAAATTCTTCACCTTGGCAGTGAATCCTCTTGGGGTTGTTTTAATGATAGCCTGATGCTTCTCCTGTAATGGGTATGTCTGCTTTCATTCATCCGTTTGTCTTTGCTTGACTTGAATGTCCAAATAAATCTCCTGTACAGAAAAGTTAACTCAGGCAGAGTAGAGGATGTGGTAAAAAGGGGCAAACCCTTGAAATAAAATTTATATTTTCCCTCATATGTGCACTTTATTGTCCAAATGAAATGACCTTATAATAGTGTGGTCAGCCAGTTTGGATTAGAGAAGGAACAAAGCGCTCCTTAATGTTTTTAGAGCCTTCTGGTTAGTGGGTAGTAGAGCTAACAGCTTAGTGGGAAATGAATGGCTGAATTCCACTGCCACGTTGTTGTTGTTCTCACCTTTACTCTGTTCCACTTTAAAACAGATGGGCCATTTGATTCTGACTTTCTTTCACTGCACCTCTGTCATACAGTATGGACATATGGAATAGAGCTACACATACAGAAGGAAAAACTTTGGTAAATATTACAGATTGCCTCAGAGAGAGTGTCAGGGCCGCTCGGCGGCCGCTGCCTCTCCTCCGTCTTTCTCTCCTCTGCTCTCTCTATCATGTGGGCTCTGCACCTCAGCTGTGTTGCATTCCAGTAATTAGCAACTGGTTGGTCGATGCACACAGCTGGGGTGCATCCCGATGATTACCTTC